CATAAGCCTGAGGCGAGACGCGAGCAGTTATCAACCTGTGGGTCGGCGACGTGTGTCTTTACAGAAGGACGCGTCTCTCTCCTGCTATTGAAAGTTAATTTCAGAGCCGCCAGTTTAACGTTCGGCCACTTGAAGACAGACTTCGATCCAATGATTCTTCCGCACGGCGTGTCCTCAGTGACCGACGCATTCCGCATCGAAATCCATCGGTTCCTTAAGATGGCCCGTGTATCAGAACTAGAAAAGTGATCTCCATCCATTCGGCAGAATTAATCAAAACCTGTTCGGTCAGATAACGCATTTTGCAGAAAATTACAGCGTCCATCAAAGAGAAGTGGTTTCGAACCCGGCCAGCGCAGTGACACTTGAAGTGTAGAATCCACCAAACTGGCGTCCGTAGAGTTTCGATATCAAATTAAGTGCATAAACGCACGCCGTCTTCCGGGTTCTAGCGCCGTGCCCCAAAACCCAGAGGACAGCCATCATTGGCCAGAAAAATCTTTGACAAATGCACAAGCAGGTGTGGAGAAATTTCGATGTTTCGTTGGTTTAACATCCGGAAAACCGCATGACGTCAGATCGGATTATGAAGTTACGATTTCCCATTCGCAAACTCTGCGCTGCGCGAGGCACGTGGCTTTTCCTCCTTTCCTTCGGAATCAAAATAAATACAAACCGAGTGACGGCAGTGCGTATGGATTTTTGAGGCGTAAGGGCAAAGTTCAAGTGCCGAGACGCAGGTTCGTTCCCCGGTTCGGATTTTAGACGTGGCACCTCGTTAAACACCAAACGCAAAACATTGCTGCTCTTAGCAACTGCGTTCCTTGCGTACGAGCGAGCGACGTAAGGCTGAAACTTTGGTAGTAGACAAATTCTTGAACACAAAGCAATAAGACGATGTCATTAGTTGTTTGTTAGACATAGCGCACCGTGTTCGCACACACACACACACCAGCACATCGTCCGCCATCTTGTTTTGTGGAGCGATGTGACGGCGTCCCTCAAATACTGCTGCACCGCGCGTCCGGGACCCGGGGCCACTCTTTGCCCCAAATTTCTCGCGCCCACGTGGTTTTTATGAAGAAATGAGGTGAGTCCGACGATGGGTTGTTGCGCCGTGTGGTCTGGTAGAAGTTTACTGCGTCCATGATGAGGATGGAGGCTGCATGTACCTCTGAAACGTCGGTTAACTTCTACTAGACTGCCGGGTGCTACACCCGGAAGATTGTCATCCCCAAATTTTGTTTAACATACGCCAAAAAAAGAGAAAAGAAACGACGTTTTAAATTTTTGAATCGCGTTAAATACGGCCAACATTGATTATCGCACAAAGAACGCGCGCGTTACTGAAGCGACGAATTTTTCAACGACCAAAGACGGGACAACGGAAATCGGCGGGCAACCCGGAAGTTCATTTCTCCGTCTGGGCACGACCCCTCCGCCTCTCACATCTTAAACCCCAATAGTCATTCAAAGTTTCTGGATTTTAGCTGTAATATAATTGTACCTTTACCTTGTTTGAAAATGGCACTAAAATCAAACGATAACGACGTTTCACTGCCTACAGTAGGCCTAGCGGGATCAACGAATATACTCGGTGTTGGCAGGGAGAAGGCGTTGTTCCGTGCAGCAGTATGCGAGCCCTCACAATAAACCAAACACCAAACTGTGTATGTGATAGGGCTGCGTCCGAGTGTGCTGACTGGCGGCCGTCGCAAGGAGACGCCGCAAGGCGGGGTCTTTCGTGCATTTCCACTAACGGAGAATGGCTCGAAGCGCTGGGCCCAGTCACAAAACAGTCCTTCCGTTCTCCGGTCTGTCCTCCTTTCATGCTGGGTCCATGTTTTTCTTCTGGTACTGGAGGCGTCCCCCCCCGTCTAACCTCTCCGCTATATTTTGTACGCGAGGTCCCTCAAAGACACGTGGTTCTCTCGTGCCACTTAATCAGGGGAAAATTTCAAGCTTTTCTAGAGCGCGCAACACAATATTACTGACTCTCTGTCTCTCGTCTTAATAAGCCACTCTTCGGCGGCAGAGGCGATGAGCCCTTCCTTCTACATGTCTAGGCTGCGGCTTGGTCCCCCTCTCCGTCTCCTGGTGACAGCTGCGTCTTGTATTCCAATAAACTTGAGAACGGGTATTTTATATTCCAAGTGTCGTGTCTTGTCTAGCACTCAAGCAGGACATTCGGACGCGGCCAGCGTTTTTAACTAGAGCCAATCGGCCGGCGCACGGAAAGAATTCCAGAGTACGTGAACTAGGCTTCAGCGATCTACGAATGCAGACCCCAGACTCTGTGCGTTGGCGCCATATAGAGGCATTGTGACATTCGTGTGTTATTACATTTTTCCAAATAAAGTATTTATTGTACTGCGAAAGTCTCTCTTTGTTTCGCTCCTTCGCGCCTGTCCAGTTCCTTAGACGCCGCAGAACAAACTCCAAGCACGTTCCACCGGCAGTGAGATCGCCTAGAGCGAACCTCCCCTCTCTTACGCCTTCAAGATGGAGTACTATATTATATACACACACAAAATTTCATGGGACCCCCCCCCCCTCACAAAAATAAATGTAATGTTTACGTATTCAATTAAAGTTGAGATAAAATCAAACCAACGTTCGTTCAAATTGGTCCTTTCGCTTGGGAACTGTCGTGGTTCTACAGATGGACACGGAAACACGAACAGCAGAATTTAAAATGCACCGTCGAAGAGCGAAGTGCAGTGGGGGGGGTGGGGGGAAATTTCACAACACAAAACATAAAATACAGACATTCACAAAAGTCCGGATTTTGGAACTTAAGTTGCAAAAACGTTCACATTTTTCTGTTCAGAAAATAAATAATCATGTAACATTCTTAGAGTTTCTGTTCACTAAAGAAACAGAAATTCTAATGACTTTGCCGCACGCCCCCCACCACAGACACAGACCATCCCAACTGCATGGTCTTCCCATGGCACCAAATTTCCTTAACAGCTCTAATACGAGGATGAGAAGATCAACTTCTGTCTACCACCAACCTGAGAAAGAAGACGTCACAAAACAGCGGCGCACGTCAGGTCTAGTTCACTGTCCAATCCTGTGTTCACCTTCGAGTGCTACGCCTCCACTGCGGCGTCTTCGTCCTCAGCTTAGCGCGCGACTCACCCAACACTCGCTGCCATGTGGCAACACAACCGGAGGATTCATGTCGCTAACATCACAGCCTCCCAATGAACTAATTCCTGAGCCGGTTCAATCTGCATCCACCCTCAAAACCAAATTCCTTAAGAATTATTTCAAAATTACCCCCACGTCTGCCTCTTGGTTCCGGAAGCAACTCTCCCACGACAAACCCGGAATCATTTCTTGGCGACCCGCAGACTTCGATTTCGCTTCCCAACCGATATGACTCACCTTTCGTACTCCTACACGATCTCTGCCTCGCGAAGACTGTCGCTGGAAATTACTTTCGACTGTAAGGATTAAATAGAAAGATATCCTGAACGAGAGCATCGTGATAGGAAGCCACGTCGCTCCTGCACCTGGTGATAAACCCGCCGACACCTACGGGCTACTTCTGTCACACATTAAGAGACGGAACGCCTGCAGCCTTGCAGTAATAAGTTCACAGCATCAACATATTTAGATCGAGGCTGAAATGTACTTACGCTGGTTTCTGGAGCATCGCGCGGGGGTGCCTCCGCTCGGCAGGGACGGTCGAG